AGAACAGGCAAATGGGGATTTCTCTTTCCAGCAAGAGCCTTTGGAGTCTTGCAGCAAAGAGCATCTGTTTCAGGAGGCACAGCAGTATTTCCTATCCGGGTTTATTCAGTTGACTTCAGTTGGAGAGTGCACGTTCTTCCTTTTTTAGTGATGTTTAACTTAAGCTGTTCATTCCCAGTATCTAACGATGGTATTCCCGGCACTAAATAGATTGCTTATTTCCATAAACCGAATGGATGGTGCTAAAACACATTTAATTCTTCTCAGATGTGTTCCAGTCACATGAAATTAAGTGCAAAAGTTAAATGGGAGAGGGTCTGATTTATCTGGGGTCTAACTCCGCTGATTCCAGAGGAGTTGCGTACTTTGCCAAGGCTGTATTTGGCCCTAAATCTTCCCATTTTGTGAATTAAGGTTGACATAAAGTTGAGAGTTACAAAAGTGGGAAAGCAGTTAAAACTAGGAAACACAAAGTATCTGTAACCACATCTGGAAATACTCATTTCTGGTTCATATTTTCCTATTTCAGCTGACGATCAGTACAGAACATTTGGCTTTTGTGGGCGGCTAAAATGTTGAGTTTTAATTGTTTCATTGTAGCCAAAAGCCAAAGTCTGAGTTTTTAACGTGCGCTTTCTTCTTGCAATAATTAAACACTCTCAAGAAGAATCCGTGGGGACCTGCCCGGCAGTCTGCTCGCCGGCCAACCTCCCCTTGGCACCAGCCCGTTGCGGTCATAGCCCGGGCCCGTAAACACTTGTGTGCGCAGCCCAGTTCATGGGACGCAGGGCTGAGAAGTACATGAGCAGGGGCTGAAACAGATGAGAGATGTGTTTTAAAACCTAGTGAAAAATTATTAGGGATTTTGTCTAGGAAAAATCAAAATTAAGTTCTCCTGACAAGGCCTCGTGAACGAGCCCTATGTGAAGATGTTGTACTTAAGGGCTGAAGGAAACTGCAGGCGGGGCTGCCTGGTTCAGCTTCCGCAGCTGAGGTGGTGGCGTGTCATTGTGCACTGCGGGCAGTGGGGTGCTGCACGTGGAAGGGACTTTCTGAAGTGAAAACTCAGGAGGCTGGATCCACTGCTCGCATTTGAGCGACCCGTCACGTCACCTTGGTTACTCAGATCAGCACTCATGAAGTAACTTTCTTACGTATCTGTGTTTCACTGAAAAACAGGTTTTTCTTTTTTTAAACAAAAAGGTTTCTTTTCCCAGTTCTCAACCAATAAACCAGATCTTCATCCCTCGGCTTTCTGTCAGGGAGATAGCAAAATATCCTTTTAATATGAGGAGTAATGGCAATGAGTTGCTGTTGTAGTACAGGGATCTTTTGCTCAGTTGACCAGGGAAGCCACGTAGCATCTGTATCAACTTCTCTCTTTGCTTTCAGGCCTTTTTCACTGAGAAGTATCTGCAGGAGCATCCTGAAGATCAAGATAAAATTGAACTGCTCAAGCAACTAATTGCTCTGCAGGTATTGTACTGGGAAAGAGGTGTCAGCACTATGTTTGAGTGCAGATGTTTTTCCAGCATCACTGTTTTGGAGAGAGAATGCAGAGAAACAAGAATAAGAACAATCTAGATATGCATATGTTTTTTCTGTTTTAAGGAAACTGCTGTATTCTAAAATTGTGGCCTAGAATGTTCCACGTAGCTTGTGTCACTCTGAAATTTCATTTTGAACTATTTGCCAATGTGGCATGGATTTTTCCCTCATGAGTGTAACAAAATATCTGTTACTTTTTCATGAAATCATCAGACCTAATGTTTTGTCAGTCTGACCGTTGGAAGTTGTCTGTGTTGACCTGCCTAGCAATGAAAGATTGCCCTGTGTTCTCATAATGCAAACTGCAGCCCTGCAGCCCAGTTCTTATACATTTCCACACAGCAGAGCCCAGTTAGAGCTACCTCACAGTCTACGGCTTTGGGAGCTAAGTGAGACTCCAGCATTTCACATGCCATGGTTTCCAGAGCAGAATGTGGAATCCAAGTGGGTAAGAGGGAACCATTGGTATAGAAGAAGAAAGAGTTTGTGTTTCTTGGACACACGGAGCTCAAACGAACAGTCGGGTACAGTGTCACAAGTTATGAGTTGGTAGCTGAGCCTTCTTACTCTGTAACTCTGGTTTTGCCTCTGCAGTGTCAAAACACATTGATTTAAGTCCTTTGAGTGCATCTGGGATGTGTAACATACAAAGACAATTCCTTCCTGGAGCAGGAGAGCTGATCTGTCCTTCTCTAGCTTGATTTTGTTCCTTGTTTCAGATGCCACTGTTGGCAGAAGGGATTAGGATCCACGGTGAGAAGCTGACAGAACAGCTGAAGCCTCTGCATGACAGACTGACAGCCTGTTTCAAAGAGCTGAAGAAGAAGGTGGAGAAGCAGTATGGTGTGATAACCTTGGTAAGCATACCTGGTGGTCTAGTGTCTTGCCTTGAAGAAACACAACTCCCCCCTTTCCCACTTGGGTGAGTTGGTGTTATGTGATATCACAAGCGTGTTTGTCTGCAGCCTCCCTCCCTCACCGAAAGGAAGCAGAGCAGGTCGGGCTCTGTGGTGCTGCCCTATATCATGTCTTCCACACTGAGACGCCTCTCGGTCACATCTGTGGCGTCTTCTGTGGTCTCTACGTCTTCCACGTCCTCTGACAGCACGTCCTCCAGACCGGGCTCAGACGGGTGAGTCAGCAGACTTTACACGTGATTTACGAGTGGGGATAAGCCTGTGCCAGGATCAGTTGCCCTTAAAATGAGCGTTTATTCCATACACAGTAGCAATACCTTTTAAAACTTGAATGGCATTTAAAACTTGAAAGGGAGGCCAATGTTAGTATTCCTTTTTACAGATAGGGAGTTGGAAGCACGGCCAGGGATAGTTCTGGGAGTTGAAGCCAGGATTGTCTGCCTCTGGAGTCCCAGTTGTGTGTGTGATAGTGCAGAGGGAGGGAGGCAGTGTGTTTCAGATGCACGCTATTGCTGTTTCCTGGGAATGCCAGAAAACAGAGGTGTGAGATACTGCGAGGCAATTTAGTTCCACGTGGTGTGCAAAGAGGTGCAGTCACGCGGTGCTTGTACCTACCTGCGTGCAGCTGCACAGATGGCATTAAAAGGAGCTGCCGCACACGGAAACATTTCCCGATGTCCTTCTCAGTGCATCGCTTGCATCTCTGAGAACCAGGGAGCCCAGGTGACTCGCTGAAGGTCTCCCAGCAGACCCGGCGGCAGGGTTCAGTGTACCGTGCGGTAAGTGGTTCAGACTGTATCTTGTACCTAAGACACGGTACTCAGAATTGCTAGGGGCACAAATCTCCTGGAAAATTCCATGGTCATAACTTGGCTTTTCACAACAATCTCCGATGCCAACTCAGAG